GGTGAAGCGTTCATGCACTCCTGTGCCGCTAGGTTCCAAGTAGCTGGACTCAGTCAACCCTTGTTTCTGTAAACTTCCATGCAACTCAATATGTAGTAGTAGTAGTAGTAGTAGTAGTAGTAGTAGTAGTAGTAGTAGTAGTATCATCACACTCGCTGCGGACGGTGAAGTCGCATTGCGATGATTGGAGCGGGGATCACCCGGCGCACAGTGGCGCACGATCACAGTTGGATCGTCTCAGAGCTAACTACGTTGCCCCGTAGGGCCTATGTAGAGGTAGCGGCACTCCTCATTCGGTATACAAGGATGTAGCTGGTGGTGGAGAGGGCTTCCGGTAGAATGGATTGTGCAGCACTGTTATCATCAGTATGGTGCCAATGGGCTGTGGCATTGGAACGAGGCTTGAGTGCAGCACGGTAATGCCCAGTGACCGTGGTAGGTCCTATGTGTTGGACAATCGCCTGAAGCTGATACGTTCTCCAGATAACTCCTTCCAGAGAGGAGGGAGTCCATTGAGGAAACAGGACTTCAAGATCAGCATCGATGCGATGGTCACGTTTGGTGGCAATGCCCCGCTCATTGCTAAAGCGATTCAACTGTACAGCCACCGCTTCAGTATCTGAAATCAGGGCGTGGCGACGTTTCTGCGAATGCCAGCGGTTGATGCAGGACTGAGCTGAGGTGACAACAGTGTCGGAGGCATCTTGCATTCCAGAGAGGATGAGGGGGCAGACCCCGCCTTCATCCTGGAGCGTGCGGCTGTCATCGTAGGACTGCCAGAGGCCTTGAAAGCAGGGTGCATTGAGGACCTGGTGCAGGTGAAGCAAAAAGTCTGCGGCATCATGTTGTCTGGCAGGGTTGTGCCAGCGCCGCAGTGCCTGTCGCCATGGCAGGAGGGACCAGAGCATCATTTGTGGCTGTTTGCGCGCCTGTGCAATGATGCTCTTTAGCGGTTCCCGGCCCAGTACCTGAAAGGATGAGGCAGTTTGGGACACAATCCAAAGGTAGGTCATGAGGCAGGCATGGGAGTAACAGTAGTTGGAGGGGTTGCGAAGTTGCAATGTTGGCAGGAGTGCTGAGGTCTCGGCTGCTGTCTCGGCATAGGAATGTTCATGGACTGGAGAAGGGACTGGAGCTGCTGTGCCAGGGCCGATCTCTGGAGGCGATCCGGACGGAGGGTGCAACCGACCATTAGGAGAGAGGAGTTGTGTGAAAGGAGCTGGAGCAGCTCCCAAAAGCGAGCTGTCTGTTCTCCTCGCCATCCCAAATCCAGTAGCCAAGTCACCGTGCTGCCCTCCATTTTCTCCTCCAGCTGCCGAGTGGCGTGGAAGCGATTGAGCAGCTGCGGTTGCACGCTCAACGTGGCCAGCTCCCTGGTTATCTCCACCACTTTCTGCGCCGTGAGCGGCTCTCGGTCCGGTATGGGCTGCATGGAGCCTTCCTTGTTGTTCCACTTGCGATACCCAAATCCCGTGTCCGGGTTGTACAGCTCCATCTGGACGGCCTGTGCCCGTGCATCGGCCTGGTCGATCACCTTCTGAGCACGCTGGGACAGCTCGAGCATCAGCTTCTGCCAAAGAATGATGCGCATCGGCTGCGAGATAGAGTTAAGGTTGTGCTTGGGAGGTAGAGCGTGGAAGCCGTCAGGCACAAGAGTTCTGCAGGATTTTGTGGAGATGTGGATTCTAAGGTTGTACCAAGAGTCACACTGTCGGAGACAGTGCCGGCATTGCGGTAGGCCTTCACGCCCATGCTGCCACACAAATAGAGCATGCTCGTCCGCCGCAAATGGGGGCAGGTTTGCCGGGCAGCGACCGCGTCTGGAACCAAGGTCACCGGAGTAGCAGAGGAGGACTGGCCTGAAGCAGGGGGCTGAGCAGGGACGGAGCACAGCTCCGAGGAAGCAGGCGTTAGTCGCACTTGTGCTTGATGAGATTTTCTCAGATGCAGGCGGGCTGCTTGAAGAGTGCTATAACCTACTCCGCAGATGGGACAGTTGAGTGGACGGTAGCTGAGGACGCTGCTGACTGGTCTGAGGTGGGCGCGGGCTGGACCTGTTCGGGAGGTGATCTCCAAGTCAGGGGGGTCTGAGACTGATGGGGCAGATGCAGTCGAGTAGTCCTGCAACTGATCAAACCAGGTTTCTTGTGTTTCAGTGGGGAAGTCTGGGGCCTGTTGTAGGTGGCGCTGGATGCGCAGGTCCAAGGTGTCGCCTGGCGGGTCAAGGTGGCTTCGGTGGAGGAGATCATGGGAGGTAACCTTGGTGGTGTGTCCTGGAAGTTTGTGAATGAGTCGGAGCTGGGCATGTACAAACTGGTTGAGTAGGGTGCGGGAGTGGGGGGTGATGCCTGTCGCCTCCAGTGAGTAAAGAACGACCGGATAGACACAGGTCTTCCACACGCGGATTTTGCTGTCGAGGGTCAGGGCGCGGCAGCGAAGAACTTTGGCCAGTCGCCAGTAAGCCTGCCAGCCGAGTTGCAAGCGGTGCTGCAGGTTGAGGGTTTCATGGCTCTGGTAAGCAATGCGGGCTCCAAGGTAGGTGTGGTCATCAACGATCTTGATCAGCATGGTGGTTTGACCAACGCGGAGCTTGACTGCGGGTTCGCTTGTATCCAGCTTCGTGAGTCTGGGTCGGAGGGTGCTTCTGGCCGCGGTGCCTTGGAGGTGGATCAGGAAAACAGTTTTTGTGGGCGACACACGGAGGCCTGACTCGTGGAGGAGCTGGATGAGCAGCCCTGCCGCTCGCAGGCTGGATCGGGACTGCTCCTGCGTGCGTATGGTCCAGGAGGACCATATGTCATCTGCGTAGAGAGTGGACTCTCCCAGCAGCTCCTTCTTTTGAGCGACAATCGCTTGGAACCGCAAGTAGATCTTGGTGGTGGCCATGGACCACAAGAGTGGCGAAAGCCCGCAACCCTGGCGTATCCCCTGTGAGAGCTCAACTTCATCTCGGTGGCCCGCCAGTTCGAAGGTGAGCTTGGCCTGATCGTGTATATGGAGTGCCAGCGCCACCTCTTCGGATGACAAGCCTGCTGCCAGCATGGAATCTACAAGTTGGTCCCTGGGCAGCGAGTCGAAGGCTTTGTCTACATCCAGGCTGAGCGACAGGCCACCAGCGATCTGACTAGGTACTGCTCCTGAGTGACGCAGGTGTCGCTTGGGAACTGCAGAGGCCGCCAGGGTGCGCGCCTCGTGGAGATGGCCACAAACGCGGCTGATCGCGTCTGTGGTGCTGCGGTTGCTAACGTAGGCGAATTGCGGTGCCTGGCGGATGTAAGTTTCAGCCCTGTCTCTGATGCGGTCTGCTAACATCATGGCCAGTATCTTACTTCCGGGTGGAAGGAGGCATATCGGTCGCAGTTGCTTCGGAAGGCGTGCCATGGAGACCTTAGGAATGAGACAAACATGCACTCGATGCCAATCCTCCGGGAGGTTGTAAGTTGGAGATTGGAGGCAGTGTTTCAGTCCCTCTGCAATATCCGGCCCAATGGCTGTGGAGGTGGCCTGCCAGAGTCGGGCCGGCATGTAGTCCGGGGGAAGAGCCTTCCGGACCGGGAGTCGGGCTCGGGCACTGCTTACCTCCGCCACCGGCTCTTCGTCACAGTGTCTGGGCTGTGTGGTCGGGAGGAGGCCAGCTGAAGCAGCGAGACGATCCCAGGTCTGACGAAGGAGGGTGTTGATGTGGCGGCAGGGGTCATCCCCTGTGGGTGTTGGGTGGAGTTGAAGCTGGAAGGCCATGGAATGAGCGAGCTTCGGACCCAGCTCAGCTTGTATGGAGGCTGCATTCCACCGTCTGGGTGGCGATTGTTTGTTTTTCGGTATCAGCCTGGGACTGGGCCAGGGCATGGTGGTGGCCAGGGGACGGTGGCGATTGCCCTGTTGGGGGACAAACGGGGCGTTGCGCAGGGCTCCAGCACATCGCGTACTGTTGTGACATAGGAGGCCTCTAGGTAAGCCAAGTTCTATTTTATTTTCGGATTCGGTTTTGATTCAGTTTAGATTCAATAGCCCGATTCGGTTTTCATTCACTTATCATATGCGGTTTGCTTGGATGCGCGCTCTTTCCTTTTTCTCTTCCAACGGGCAGGAAGTTCCGGTCAAGCTCCACTTGCATGCAAAAAGAGTGTATGGACAAATACCATTTAACCTGCAGTCGCGGCAATGCCACGGTAGGGTATTAAATTTCGTCGTTGTCACCGTTGTCACCGCGTTGGCGTTGTCATCGTTGTCGTCGGCGTTGGCGTCGCAGTCGTGGCGGCCGGAAACTAATCACTATACTGACTGACCATATGTAAGGACCCTTGACTTGACTCCATCCCAGTCTTATGCCAGGGTTCGAGGGGTGTGGCACGGAGAAGCGGGGCCGTGGTGGTGGGGGGGGGGGTTGGCGTACCAGGTGGGGGGGTCCCAACCAAAATTGAATAGCGTTCCCACCGTCGAGCAGGAGTCCCGCTGGCGGTCAACTTGTTGATAGCGTTTTAAAATTCTTGATTTGAGAAACTCGGTGGAGTTTCGTTTCTGATGAGACTTGGTGCAGCAGAATACATCTCCGTGCAGTGTGAGCCACAGCGGCTCAAAAAGAAAAATTTTGATTCGAGGCCTTCTAAGCTCCTAGACATTCTAGCAGGCTCCGGGTGCTATCACGAGGTGCAGCCTCCTTGTATGAGCCATACCTCCGCCACCAGTGCGGGTTCGTCGGTGGTGCACCCCAGCTCCCTGCGGGCTGTCGAGGATATCCTACAGGATCAGATCTCCTCTTTGCAACTTCGGGTTACGGCTTTAGAGTTCCGCTTGCACGGGCCGCTTGAGTCTGACAGCCCCGCCTCGGGCTCTTCTAGTGTAGTGCTTGCGTGCTTCGAAGACCTCTTCGACGATTCTGCAGTAACTGCAACCATTTGGGCCTTTCTGCCCTGCCAGGAGCGCTTGCTGCTTCTGCAAACATCTTGGTTTGTGAATACCCAAGTCCTGCCTCAGTTGCTTTGTGCTGCTGCCACCCAGGGATGGCCGCACCCGATGTCTCCGCCTCCTCAGATCCCGCGCTTTCCTCGAACAATGTGGGGTTGGCTTCAGGAGTTGCAGGGGTGTTGTTGGAGAAGGGACCGTTGAGTGTGGGTCCCATCGCTTTGGAAGACGGAGAACCGCAGCTTCCGGTCGCTTCCGAAAGCATTCTAGCCTCTTTGGAGGATGCCCAGGGCCCTGGCGAGGAGCTGCCGGGCGATGTACCTTCTCAGCCGGCCGAGCCGGTCCGGGAAGAGCACTTGGCAAATTATGACTTCGATGAGCAAGAGGAGCTAGAGTATTATCGAGAATACGACAATGGGTTTAGTGAGGCCTTGCGAAACCTTTCCGCTGATGCAGAAGCTGAGGCTGCTCTTGACAGGGCGCTCCACAGTCTTGTAGGTAGTGAGGAATGCATGAGCGAAGTGACCGAACAGGTGTCGGCATGCAGTCGTGAGGCCGATCCTGTCTTTGTACAAGAGCAGGTCATGAACGAGCTTGTACGGCACCCAGTGCCACCACGAGGATTTCAGCTTCCGTGGGAGCGAGGTCCCATGAAGAGCATCTTTGCCGATAACTTGCCGAGCTTGCCAAGCTTGAAAGGGATGCCAAGACGTAGCATGCCGGAGCCCCCCCCCGTTGTGATTGCACCGAGTCTTTCGCCAGCAGCCAAACTGCCCTCGCCGTCCGAGCCAATCTTTAAGCTAGTTGTGAAGGTTGTTAAAGATGTGGGATATCTTGAACGCCGTGAGGAGTTGCTTCAGGTTGGAATCCACAAGTTGGCCATCAACTTAGAGCTAGTGGGTAACGCCTTTGTTCCCCCGGAGCTTCTGCACCAAGGGCAGGTCGACGCTGAGTCGCTGGAAGCGGCAATCGGGGTGAGGAGTCCTCTCACACTAAACAAGCGTGTAGGCAACCTTGCGAATTACTTGAAGTGGTGTATGGAGTCGTGTGTTCAGAGCGGCTGTTACCTACACGAGGCCACCGTGTGGAAGTACCTCAGCCACCTGAGGCATTCAGGCTCGCCCCCGTCGCGAGGAGCCGACTGTGTATCCATGTTTCGGTTCTTACACCATGTGTTGGGTCTGGACCTTACGCACATCCTCAAAAGTAGACGTGTCAGCGGAATCACTGAACAGATGCGCACCGGCAAGGGTTGGATTAAGCAAGCATTGCCCCTCACGGTGAGTGAGATCCTGTTCCTGCACCGGCTGTTGGAGCAACGAGAGTTGCACAAATACGACCTTGCGATGGTGGCATACATACTCTTAGCCTTATATGCAAGAGCCAGGCATTCTGACCTGGCGGATGTTCAGAATGTCACGCATGACCACTCACCGGCGGGAGGATTTCTCATCATTGAGCTGGGTCAGCACAAGACGCGCCGTGCACAGGCGCGTTGCAGAGAGTTGTTGCCGGTTCTCATCCCGGCCATCGGGGTGCACGGACAGACGTGGCTGAATGCAGCTCAGGAGTGTTTGGAAGATGCAGGCTTGAAGCTAGAGGGTGAGTTGAAGGGGCCCATCCTGAGGGCACCCGCCAACTCATATGGCGACACCCTTTGCCTGCGTGAAATCAGGTCACATGAGATCACAAATTTCCTCCGGAAGATTCTTCTGCCAGTGTCAAGCAAAGACAGGTTATCATGTGTGTCATCGCATTCGCTGAAACGAACCCTTCTCTCTTGGGCGGCGAAGTTTGGATTGTGTGACGATGTTTGTACGGTGTTGGGCCGCCACACTTCAGCGACCGTCAGCTCACGAGCCTTGTATGCTATGGATCTTGCCACGGCCCCCGCGCGGGAGCTGCAACGCATGTTATTGGAAGTGGCAGCGAAGCGCTTCGCACCTGATGCTGCCCGGTCAGAGTATTTTCCCTTGAGGTCACAAGCTCTCGAGTCGAATGCACAGACGCTGCATGAGCAGGATCAGGCCCTTCGTCACTCAGGCTCGGACGTGAAAACTGAAGTCGCTGCTGTAGCGGGCCCCATTGCCGACCCACCTGGTCCAGTCTGTGTAGACTCTGACTCTGATTCATCATCTTCCAGTGAGAGCTCCAGCTCTGCATCCAGTGATTCGGGAGAAGTCCCCCCCAGAATGCCTACCAAGGTACCAAGGCTGGACGTGGCGTGGCCGCGTCACGAAGTTGCTGTGCATGTGAAGTCTCGCATCGCACACAGGATCGTCTTCACCTCGGAGGGAGGAACAATGGTCTTCTCTTGCGGGCGCTCAGGGTCCCAGAATTTTGAGAAGCTCCAAGGCTCACGAGAAGCAACGGCATTTTGCCAGACATGTCGGAAAGCCGACAAATAGGCTGCGAACTGCAGCACAGGATGTAGCCTCGGGGCTAGTGAGTCCTTCCAAGGGGAAGTGAAAAGATGGTGTCCGTGCGATGCCTGAGGGAAGCGTGTCATCTGTGGAGCTGAACATGTGCAGGTAGCTTGACGTGTATCGTGAATGAGGTTTGAGTTGTTTGTGCATGCGCAAGTTTTGGCAAAGATGGTTCAGACATGTCGACTGACACAAATCATAGAAACACCTGAAGCTTCCCAGAAACCCTCAATTGCACTACATGTGTTCTTTGATGGATCATAGTTCGTACTTCGTCAAACCTACGTAGCTTTCTTTCTGAACCATGTCCGCTTACCTTGACTCCACTGCCCACTTCGAGCAGCGATGCAAGGCATATGGCATAACCTCCGAGTCCATTACGAAGCTGGCAGGCATCGGTGTGAAAACCCTGGGCCAGGTCGCCCACGCAGTCGGAGTGCCAGGGCAGGATATTCAGGACTCCCAAATCAAAGAATGGGTCGATGCAAACTTGACTGGCCTGAGTGTTGGCGAGGTTCTGAGTTTCAAACGTCTTCATTTTGAGGCCCAAACAATGCTCATAGCACAGCTGCGGCAAAGCATTGTGGATCCCGATGCCAATAGTCGACAGAAGCTTCCGGAAGCCGAGCGTGATCAGCGAGTAAAGCTTTTTAAAGATGCCAATCCCGGACTTTTTCTTGATCCAACGACGGAGCCAGGCCACAGCCTGTTGGAGCTCACTAGCGCACAGGAACGAGAGAATGTCCTAAGGCATATTCCAGTTGAGAAATGCGTGAGTAGACAGCATGAGGTGCTGAACCACCGGCAGCCGAGTAAAGTGCTTGAAGTCGAGTCAGGCAAAATCAATGTCAAGGAGGTTACCGACACTCCTGAGCAGCCCGCCCACGGAGCGTTGGCTTTTCTTGAGGCCTTGAAGAGGCGAGGGTATGCATACAACATGGCGCGTTGCGTATCACTAAGTGCCTATGAGAAGTATGTTGCCAAATTGCTTATGAACTTCCGCCGCCCGGCTCCTCCAAATCACAGTCGAGTCAGCCTCACACAGCTACAGGATGCGGACAAGATGGTGTGGGTGCATATGGTCGAGAGGGGTACTCGACCCCGCCAGCAAACTGATGGGACGCGTGACATGGACACACACTTGCATGATGCATTGGATTCATACCAGGTCTCTGCATTGCTGCTGCCGTTACCGGTCGGTAACAAGCGCAAGCGGGACTACAGCCCGCCGCGAATCCCATACACGGGTAAAGGCAAGACGTGGAAAGGCAATGGCAAAGGCAAAGGGGGCAGAGGCAAAGGCACTGGCGTCGCGCCGCCTCCCCAGCAGCACAATGTGGCAATTCCCAAGCGAATCAAGGATGCCGGTGGTAAGGCTTATACATCCAAGGGTTTGCAAGTGTGTTATGGTTTTAACTTGGAAGGTTGTAAGCTCGGCAGTGCTTGCACAACAAACCATGTCTGTGCCAAGTGTGAGGGTGATCACCCGATCACCAAATGCCCGCAGTGACAACCTCCAGAGCAAAATCACCCGCCATCAGCTGTCAATGACTGTGCCAGTACCTGCACAGGAGACGTCGTGCTTAATACTCTTCATCAGGCCAACAACACACATCCGGCAGAAGCCTTTGCTGAGGTTTGTTTGGCCCAATCTTCAATTACTGCAAACCAAGTGGTGAAGCTCACCACTGCTCACCACTTTGTTAGATTCTGATCCTCAGAATCGCCCAGGCTATCCCCCGGACGGCTTCGTCTGGGGCACAGGTGCAACTGTGCATGGTGGAGTCCACGCTTTACGCACAAATATGCGGTCTTTTCCCCTTGTGACCCAGATGCTGGCTTCATATGCCAAGCAGTGGGTGCAGGATCACCCTTTTACTAGTCTCATGCTCTTCGCAGATGTGCAAGCGCCCCTGCATGCCGATCGGAACAATGCAGCGGGTGTAGACAATTTTCTAATCGGTTTGACTGGCTTTGATCATGGAGAGCTCTGGGTCGAATCGTCCTCAGGTTCTCAGGTCTGCCCTGATCCAGCCTATCCCGGCTGCGGTGAGCTGCTTCCAGTCTCGCGCACTTGTGCGTTTTTCGATGCTCATGCAAGACATGCTACCTGCCCATGGACGGGTCACCGAGTTGTTCTTGCAGGTTTCACTGTCAAGGGATACGATGCATTTGGTCAGGCCATGCGTGCTGAGCTGACAAGTCTCGGCTTCCAGATACCGCAGTTGGCCACGGGGGATTTTATTTGTCATACCCTAAAACCTCCCCCTCAGCCTAGCCTCGAATCTGGTTTAATCCCCACATGTCCCGTGATCTTCGAGCTGTTCTCAGGCACGGGGCGTGTTACGGCCTGCCTTCGGAAGCTTGGAGTAACCGCTGCGCATGCAGTAGACCACTGTGTGCACTCTCAGGCTGCCGCCTTGCCACTTCTAGCCGACCTGTTGACACCTGAAGGTCGCGAGCTCTGTCGCTTCTGGCTGCAGAGCCCTCTGCTGGTGGCCGTCTTCGCTTCGCCCCCCTGTGATGCATCCTCGCATGACGCCTTGCATGAATTCCTGAGCGATGTTGTTGAGGAGTGTCAGCGCCGACGTGTTCTCTGCGCCATTGAAAACCCTCGGCGCAGTTCCTATTGGGACACATCTGCCTTCCGTCGCATTCAGCATCTTTGTGCACACACTGTCAGCCTTGACCAATGTGCTTTCGGTGGCTCCCAGCCAAAGCGCAGTACCATTGTCAGCACGTCACCGTGCTTCGCATCCTTGGCAAAAGACTGCCCAGGTAAAGCCTGTGCGGCACAACATGCAGCTGATCAGGAGACTGCCTACCCGCCCAAGCTAGCTGCCTCCATTGCCCACGCACTCGCATGCCATGCTTGCAGTCTTGGTTGGAACCCGGAAACCCGCTTGCAACAACCCCACTCCTTGCAAACAGCATGCCAGGCTGTGATAGGGAACCAGCCCAAAGCCTCACGATTTCCTCCTTTAGTCCCCGAACATGCGCAGGTTATCGTCATGACCGGACCGTCGTCAGTCTCCCTGCCCTGTGAGGCCATGCAACGCATCAAAACGCCATGGACTGTTCCCTTGGAATGTTCCTGCACTTTGCGTGTTATCCCTGCCGAGGCTCAGCTTCTGCGGGTCTCCCCCCTCACGGCCAATAAGGGGAAAGAGCAGGCTGAAGAATTGCGGAACCGTTGTGAAATAGCCTGGGGCATTCCCTTCAAGCCCGAAGCATTCGTGCGTGAGGCCGTCAAGTCGGGGCATCCAAAACTGGTGCCCGTCAATCTCCCGCAACCCCTTGAAAAAGCTGTGGAGTTGAATAAGTCGCTCAGCAACGAGGAACTGAAGGCTTTCCGGGAAGAATGGTTCAGGAAGTGGGAGCGCAGGGCGGAAGAGTTACGCCCCCAAGAGGAAGAGTTGAAAAATCATTTGCCGGGGCACTTGAAAAATATCTTAGGCGGCAAAGGTCTACTGGTGTGGAGGGAAGTGCTTGAATCCCTTGGGTATGAGGACTTAGGTGTAGTGGAGGAAGTAGCGCGTGGCACCGAACTTCTGGGTCAGGTGCCGCTGACAGGAGTGTTTGATCAGTCGTTCAAGCCCGCAGTCGCTACTCCTGAGCAGGTCAAGGCGAGGGCTGTGGCGAGCCGCGAGAAGGTGCTTGGCAACCTGAAATCGCAGGGCCACCTAGATAAGGAGGTCCGGGACAAATCGATGAAGGAAGTCGCAGAGGGCTGGCTTAGGGGTCCCGTTGGGAAAGATCAACTTAAGCATAGTTCTTTGGTCAGTAAAAGGTTTGGCCTCGAGCAAGGTGTAGGAGACAGTAGAAAGGTCAGGTTGGTGGACGATCTTAGTGCTAGCACCGTGAACGATGCAGTGCAGACGTCCGAGTCGCCGAAGCCACATGGAGTAGAGGTCGTGTCAGCGTTGTGCATGAAGTGCCAAGAGCGCATGCCCCGGAGACCCATGAGCGGCAGATGCTATGACTTGAAAGCGGCATACAGGCAGCTTGGATTGAGTGAGGGCGCCCTTGATGCCTCGTTCGTTACCTTCCCCGACCCCGAGTCGGGCGACCCGGTGATATACCAGACGCTGGCATTGCCTTTCGGGGCCGCGCGCTCCGTCTACTCGTTCTTAAGAGTCTCTCATAGCATCTGGTATGTAGGCTGTGCACTTGGTTTCTTATGGGCAAATTATTACGATGACTTTCCGATCATCTGTCCCGATGACGACGTCCAAGCCCTGGAAGAGTTTGTGCCACGACTTTTTAGGTTGTTAGGCTGGCGGTTCGCCGAGGATGGTAGCAAAGCGGAAAAGTTTGGAAAAACGTTTTCTTGTCTAGGGGTTGTCTTCGACTTGCGACCTTACTGCAGCGGAAGAGTCGAGGTGGACAACACATCGACCCGGAAAAGTGAGTTGCAGGAGATCTTGAGAAAAACAGCAGGCCAGCGAGTTATGTCAATCAGTGCAGCACAGAAGCTCCGGGGTCGCATGCAGTTCGCGGACAACCAGATTTTCGGTCGAGCGAGTCGCTTGTGTTTACAGGCTGTCACCGAACATATCGTTAATGGCCGAGATGAAATCGGTCCGGCCTGCAAAGATGCCATGCTGATGTATGCCAACATTCTTGAGGTGTGCAAGCCACGAATACTGGCAAGGCCTTGCCAGAAACCAGTGTATCTCTTCACCGATGCGGCATTTGACAGGACCGAGAACAAACCGTGTTGCGGCATAGGAGGAATCCTGTATGACTGCGAAGGTAAGGCACTGCGATTCTTTTCATGTTTCTTGAGTGTTACACTTATGCGGAAACTAGGACTTGATGACAAGAAGACCATCATTTTCGAAGCAGAACTTTTGGCATATGTAGTCGCACTGGTAGCTTGGAAAGATGCAATGACGGGAAGACCTCTTGTCGCTTACGTTGATAACAATAGCGTGAGAGACCTGTGCATTTCTGGTCGAGGGCGGAACTTATTCGCAAAAACTCAAGCCGCACTATTCCTTACAATTGAAGACATGATCAGTGCTAACGTGTGGGTGGCGAGGGTACCAAGCCCATCGAACCCTGCTGACCTCCTTTCTCGCGAAAAGGTGGACACACTTCGTGTTGGCAGTAGGAAGATTAGGTCTTCGGATGTGGAGAGTGCCCTTAGTGAAATCCTCGCTTAGCGGTTAAGTTGGGGTTAGCCTGTCCTGCCATCCCTAGTGCACTAGGTTAGTCACTGCCGTATGGTGGTGTTCGACCGATGAGGATCGTGGATTCCCAAAGTCACCAGAGAAAAAGAGTGTTGCGCCAGCATATGCAGTGTGTTCACAGTTGCTGTGTACTTGTGCCTTCGCCTGTGAGTGTTAGAACTGCTCAGAAACAACAATGAAAGAATTTTAAGCTGGCGGTCAACTTGTTGATAGCGTTTTAAAATTCTTGATTTGAGAAACTCGGGGGAGTTTCGTTTCTGATGAGACTTGGTGCAGCAGAATACATCTCCGTGCAGTGTGAGCCACAGCGGCTCAAAAAGAAAAATTTTCCCACCCGCCCACCCAACTCGGGCACATTCGCAAACAGATGCCAGATCTCGTGCCGCTCTTGAGCTCAGCTTCCTGCTGGAGCACTGGGCTTTGCAGCTTGCACATTGCCAGACTTGTTAATGACACAAACTCTTGAAGTGCCACTCTTCTTGAGATCAGCAGCTATGCTGATGCACCGTAGGCCGTTGCGGATGGGGTTAGCCTGTCCTGCCATCCCTAGTGCACTAGGTTAGTCACTGCCGTATGGTGGTGTTCGACCGATGAGGATCGTGGATTCCCAAAGTCACCAGAGAAAAAGAGTGTTGCGCCAGCATATGCAGTGTGTTCACAGTTGCTGTGTACTTGTGCCTTCGCCTGTGAGTGTTAGAACTGCTCAGAAACAACAATGAAAGAATTTTAAAAACCAGGTTGAATTGAAACTGAATTGAAAATTGAATCGCGCGAGGCGTGGTTGAACCAGCCAAAACGATGCCCAAACGGACTCAAAATTTGAATTGCTCGTGCCTTTAAACAAAAGCTGACCAATTCAATTTCAATTCAATTTGCCAATTCAATATTGAATTCAATTTCAATTCAAAATGGGCCTGGTTTTGGTTGGGGTCCCGAGGGGCCCAGTTTGAATCGAAAATTGAATTCAAAATTGAATTCAGAATCGAGTCCAAACCGGGTCCCAAATTGAATTCGATCCGCGACCTTTTTAGATTATAGCGAATTCAATTTTGAATTCAATTTGGGCCTCTTTAAGGGGGGGTCCGGACCCCTCCAAATTGAATTCAAAATTGAATTCAACATCGAGTCCAAACCGGGTCCCAAATTGAATTCGATCCGCGACCTTTTTAGATTACAGCGAATGCAATTTTGAATTCAATTTTGAATTCAATTTTCAATTCAAATTGGCCCTGCCGGGGCCCGATCCCGGGGGGCGCCCGGAGGGGGGGTGCAGAGGCCGTTTTCGGGGGTCCGGACCCCCCCAAATTGAATTCAAAATCGAATTCAAAATTGAATTCAAAATTGAATTCGTTGTAATCTAAAAAGGTCGCGGATCGAATTCAATTTGGGACCCGGTTTGGATTCGATGTTGAATTCAATTTTGAATTCAATTTGGAATTCAATTTTGAATTCAATTTGGGGGGGTCGGGACCCCCTCTCCGAACTCCCCGAAAACCCCTGCAGGGGCCCTCCCACGCCTTGGTGGGGAGCTCCCTCCTCCGGGGTGACCCCTCTTTGAAATTGAATTGGACCCCTTTTCCCCGCGCCCCCCAAACCCCGACCGGACAACCCCCAAACCCTTCCCCCAAACCACCCTCAAGCCCTCATCGGACGACCCTTTGCCCTCGAACCTGGCTACGCTACTAAGTACTCTACTACTTACTTACTACTTCACGCGGTAGTGCCGGTAGTGACCGGTAGTGACCGGTAGTGGCTCCTTACTTCCTGATGGTGGCGATTGGGAACACCAACTAGTAACTGGTATTCGTCCTTTCTGGCCCGTGGGTGCGGGCGAAGCCGAAGGAACCGAACTTGAACCTGTGAGTGAATTGAGCCTCGGGTCCCCCCAAACAGCGACCCCCAAATTGAATTCATCATTTGAATTGAAACCGGATTGAAACTGAATTGGCAAATTATCTGGTAAATTAGCAACCTAGAGGATTTTCTATGTCACAAGCGTACTGCGGTCAGACTGGCCTTCTCGACACAGGATGTAGTCAATGCGGGTTCGAGTAGCTTGCGGTCCTGTGCCAGCGATGTAGGTGGCTGCATTGGCCTGGCGGCCAAGAGTGGTGACAGCCAGGAGCTGGTGGTCTCGAAGGAGGTTTTGGAGCCTTCCGTAGTCTTTTTGTGGAGGCACAGGCTTATCCAATTTGTCAGCCGCTCGCGCTAGTCGGGGTGCATCTGGCGGTGGTACACACTGGGTGTTGAAGTCCCCTAGTACCACGAGCTGGTGGCGTTGAGCGATCTATCCAACTAGACTGGAGAGCTTGCTCCAGACCTTTTCTCGACATTCTATCAGTTTTTCCTGAGTGGGGGTGGCAGTGGAGTTGGTAGACCAGCAGTGCTGGTAAATACTGATGATGGATATGGGCGGCTCGGTGGCTAACTTGGTGTAAAGGATTCTTCCAGGGAGAACATGGTCGGTGCGCACCTGGTGGGTGTTGGCCAGGTCCTGGTGCACCAAGTGGAGGATTCCTGCGCTGGGGGTTTTAGCGTCCAGTGAACTGTGCAGGTGCCAGTAGCCCTGAGCTTGCCACTCGCTGGTGAATGTCCAGTGAGTCTCCTGGAGGGAGAGGACATGGACTGGTCTACCATGAAGGGCCTCCATATGGAGCCAGACATATATCTCGTCTAGCTTGGCAGTGCTGAGGCCGCCCGCGTTCCAGGAAATAACACGGAACCTGTTCAACGAGGCGGCAGGCGCAGGTGGTGTAGTGGCTGGGGTCTGGGCGTAGGATCCGGCCGAGGCAGGGGCGTCTGAATGATAGACCCGGCCTCTGTATCGTGCGGTGCCCGTGGTGGCGAGGCGCTTCAGAAACCTTGCGTAAGAACGCTTTTTGACCGAAGAGGTAGGTGCTGCTAGTGGCGATGCGGTATCGCCTGTGGTAGGTGGCGCGCGAGGCTTTGCCGCACTGTGCGGCCTTCGAAGTGCAGTGATAGCGACTTCAGGGGAGTTCGCGACTGTCTCCCCAACCCTCGCACCTGCCGAACTCAGGAGCTGGGATCCTAGGATGATGGCCTTGAGGTAGGCTGGGGTTCGTCCTATGATTCGCGTCAGAGCTCGGTCCCCGGATTTGGGACCGGGGCGGCTCGTCTTAGGGGTAACATGGGATGTGTGTGTGCCTCTTTTCGTCTGTTCTGCATGGGGTTGAACAGCTCTGGGGGCAGGGGGGGGCTGTTTGAGCCCAGGGGTCAGCATCTTCAGGAGCGAGCGAAGTTGCGGAACACAACATCTGGCAGGAGGCAATTGCAACAGGGTCTTCTCTCGGAATCTTTCGTGCCTTGCTGGTCTCCGCGAAGGTCTTATAGTGGCCATCATATAGAGGCTAATCCAAGCTGTGCAGGTCCAGAGCCAGGGGTGCCTGTGGCTTCGAAGGAGCAGTGAAGGATGCTCGGTCAGTCTCCGGGAGAGGGTGCGCAGGTTCGTCGGTACGATCCGGTGCAAACTGGTGGTAGTGCAGCCTGCATAAAGTGCAGGCCGGTGACGGTACAAACCCCCGCCACAGGTCTGCCATCCGGCATGGCATCACGCAGTTCAGCTCTCCACGCGCTGTGGCATAGGGAGATCTGAGGCCAATTTGCGAATGTCGGGGCTGTGTCAGAGACCAGCCTGTAGCCCTCACAGATGTGGAAGGCTGGCGGGACTGCTTCAGGGAGAAACTCCTGTCGGGGGCGACCTTTACAGATGGCGCAGTCCTCTTCGGGTTGTGCACGGAAGCTGTGGGGCCAGCCCTCCATCCAGTGCTCATGGCACACTGGGACAGAGATGGACGAGGCACGTCGAAGGGAAGTGGCCCTGGCACGGCGGTATCCCGCAAGTCGTCGAGCTTCACGTCGAGCTGACCTGGTCCAAGCAGGCAGGGGCAGCGGGAGATGCTGAGAGGTTTGTGGAGAGGCTTATGGACACTTGAGGCCACCACTGTTGGGAGAGCGGGTGGCCCGCTGCCAATGAGATCTGGGTGACAGCTGTTCAGGCTGAACTGCAGTGGGAGGTTATCTGGCATCCAAGGCTCCGGCCACTGCAGCAACTCGGGACAGGGACCTGCAGCTGAAGGGAGGTGGTAGCCAATGCAGGGTCGGCAGGGGGAACAAGAGCGGGACAGAAGGCGGCGTGCTGGCTCTGAGCGAGATTTTCTCCATAGTCCAGAGCTGGTCCGATCGGCGCAACCATGCAAAAGGCGGACAGCAGCACAGGCTAGGCTGCTCACTCCAGGCTGTCTGAGTCAGTGGCCACTGTCCAGGTGGACTCGCAAGAGGGGGACCGCTCTGCCTCGATCTCAACGTGCACCCAGGGCCCCTCATGCGGCAGGAGGTTGTCGACGTTCTCGTATTCGACGTGGTCGACGGACCCTTGTTTTGCTGCTCCTGGATGTCGGCTCCGGCTGGTTGTGCTCCGGCTTGTCCTGCTTGTCGCCAGGGCACGTGTCATCCACCGGAAGCGGCTTTGGCACGGTCGAAGTCCGGGGCATCCTCTTAGTTGTCGGCTTGAGCCGAGGCATCTTCTTAGTTGTCGGCTTGAGCTGTGGGCGGGAAGTCTTCGAAGAGGAGGCGGAAGGTTCGGACCGAGGGCCCGCAGTAGAGGCTTCAGGGACTTCAGGTGCACCGCTGTCGTCAGCTCGGTCTGAGCTCGTCGGTGGTGGGGCCTCATTGCCATCCTGTGCCGGCCCCTGGTCCATGGACCAGGTGCGTGGCTCTAAGAGTCCGAGCGATAACCAGCGAAAAGACCGTGACCGGAGGTGGCGCCCTTTGCCAGCGCGCCCTTTGAAGCTCCCGCTTGGTCGCCTGTTGTCTGGCACGGAGTGGGCGGCTTCGGGGACTTCGTGAGCTTGCTGGGCTGCTGTGGCGGAGTCTGTGTGTCCGCAGCAGCCATTTTGGGTTGATTGGGATGGTCGGGGCCATGCAGCACAATGCCAGGCGCTGAGGGTGCACTGGAGACGGGCCTAGGACTCTTATATAGCCACGTGCTTTCTACGGCCGTGTGATGGAGGCTATGCGGAGCTTTGTTGACGCGTCTTGCCAGGGATGTGGAGCTATGTAGTCGCCTTGTCACCGAAATCAACATGCATATGCGTGGCGGTATGTAATGCTGTGAGCAATGCAGCCAGCATGAAGGAGGTGTATTTCGCACAGACGCCGGGGGTTGCAGTGGCTGGCATTGCACAGAGCAGTGTAGAGGCCGAGGAGGTCGCTGCATGTCCGGTGCAGGGCTGTGGTCTGCGGCTCCAGGGGATGAAGAAGTCCGATCATGAGTACCTGTGCTCAGGTCGCTAGGTCGATGCTGATGCACGACACGGGCACCACCTCTAAGGGGGCAAGGGCAGGCAAACCAGGAGTGGCAGGCGCACCGGGCATGGCGTGAGGCTTTGGCCTGCGGTGCCAGCGCAGTGGCCAGAGAATACTGCCAAGCC